GCAACTTCTTGCATAATTTATGTGAGTTGTATAGCTGTTATTGTTGAATGAACAAGGTAGAATTGACTTAAGATGTGCAATTATTAACACAAGCTTAATTAAAGGGGAAAAAAATCAAATGCAAGATTTGGTTGACTTCAAAGCTTTGATGCTGATACAAGTATTGGTTATTTTATACGAATTATTAATTTTTTTTGTTAATTAATTTAATTATTTGTTTTATGTTTTGGATATTCCCAAAAGGAATGAAATGTTTTAGAGCAAATACAATCCCAACAAACCATTTTTTGGTGTATAAAAGAGATTAATATTTAAACCTAGACTAGATGTGATAAAGCCACAATCCTAACAACCAAAAAATATTATTAATATAATCCTATACTAACATAATCAGCTAGCAAAATGCCAAAAACTAAAGTTATATACGACTATGTTCAATTCACTTACGGTGGTGTTTTTTTTTTTTTTTTTTAAAAAAAAAAATTGTTAACTATCTTTAATTTCATGTTAAAAAATATATAAAATTTAATTTTTGTAATCCAATCCATTTGATAAGTTTTCATATTACAAATTAGGGTATAAGATTAAAGTTTGATTAAATGTGAAAATCATATCAAATTAGATGATCCTAGGTATAAACAAATATGTGCTACAAATTATTGGTCAATGACCAACAAAATCCATATAATACTATAATGTACTTCCTCTATGTTTTTTTAAGGTGCTACACTTACCAAATGCTATAATGTCGTTTTTGTTATTGTTACACTTTTATTTTTGGCAAAGGATGCAAGAGAAATATAATTAGTTCCCTCCTTTGTCAAAGTCCCCACTCAAACCCACTACTACTTTTTTATTTCCCTTTCACATTCCTTAGGTTTCAATAAAATATTAACTCCATTATCCAATTAATATAAGGTAGTTTCATTCGGAGCATCATATTCATGGTATTCCAACCTATTATAATAAATTAAAACGAATTAACATTTGAAACAAAATAACACATATTACATAAAAGTAATGAGAGTATGAGACTATATAATGAAACTAAACCCAAAACCTTGACAGCCGCTCCCCCTCCCCTCCCCTCCCCTCCCAACCCCTGAAACCACTCAACCAATCCACCCCCACTCCTACCCTCCCTCTCCCTTCGCTGGAAAACCAAATAAAAACCTTGACAGTCACTCCCCTTTCCTTCCCCACCACCGAAATTATTTATTGAAACCCTAGCTTAGCCTCTCTCCTCTTTCCTCTCTCCTCTCTCTAAAAACCCTAACCTCCATTGTTGAATTTTGGAGGGTTTTCATCGATTCTTACCGGTGAAAAGCCCCAATCTTTGTTTTTTATGTGTCTTTTCTCTTTGTTTTTTTTTTTATCTAGGTTTATAATAACTCTTCCTCTTTTAGGAGGAACGTTCCACCCTCGAAAGAAAAGGCTTTTCTAGGAGGATTTTTCTCCTTCGAAAGAAAAGGTTTTTCTTCTCTTCTCTTTTGAGGGAGGATTTGCTTTTTTGTTTGATGGATTGCTGTAAAATTGTTTCATGGGTAAAGATTTAAATGGGATCGAAAAGAGGTTAATCTTTCGATTACAACCAGATGAATTAGACGAAAATTTTCTTCACGGCTACAACAGATAAATAGACCCCCTCGTCGAAAAAGGCTGTAAATGCAATACCCCGTATTATTGAAGCGTATTTTCTAATTAATTACTTAATTATTATTTCCTAAAAAGGGTATTTTGGTAATTTATTTTACTATTTAAATTTTGGAGCCAAAATGATATTTGAATTTTGGCCCCAAAATTATTTTAAAATTTAATTATTGTTTTTGGATTTTGAATAAGATTTATCATCCATATATTTTATTTTAAAAACCGCAGTATTTATATATATTTCTGATATTTTAATTAAAGCAAAAAATATATTTTTATTATTTAATTAATAAGTCCGAAAATTCCTATTGATTAGCTAAGGAATTCGGATTTTCCTAGTGTGAAAAATCTGATTTTCTTGGTTAATTTATTTAGTGAATAATTGGTATCTTCTTAATTAATTATTTTATACAATAAATATTATTTACACAATTATTTTTAATCCTTAAATCTAGAAAAATAACTTCCTAAAATATACTAATAAGGTCCGAAAATTGGAGTTATGGAAGCTCAATATTTTCGGCCCTCTTGGTTGATTTTTGGGGGAATTATTTTGGTAATTTGTATTTTAATTATCTTCCTCAAAAATTATTATTTTCCTTAATTTTTATTTCCCATCTCCTAAATATTTGATCATCTTATTTCCCTACCTTATTTCATCCTTGATTATTCCCCAAGTAAACCTCTTTTTCCATATTATTTTCATGACAACATACTTTCCTTAATTTTATTATTCTTAATCACCTTAATCTCAAACTTTCCATATTTCTTTAACACTCTTCTCCAAGTAATTTCCTTAATTCTTTTTACCATAATTTTTGCCTACATTCTCTTACCATAATTTATGCATGAGCTAGCCTATAAATTAAATACCCATTGATTCATGGATAAACACTCACACCAAATTCTCTAATTCTCTCTTAATCTCTCTCTCTTTAATTTTCTCTTCTCTTTTTCTTTTCTTACGCCACCACCACCAATCACCAAGACCACCACCCTCCACTGTCGGCACCAGCCACCGCTGCCACCACAGCAGCCGCCTGCCACGGCTGCCGCCCCTCCTTGCCGCCACCTCTCCTCCTTTTTTCCTTGGTTTTCTACATCTTCTTCTTCTCTTCTCATATTTAATTAATTATTATTGTTATGGGGGATTTATAAAAATTATTATGAGTAGTTTTAATTAAATAAAATCATATTTTTATTCATGTTTATGAAAAAAATAATTTAAAAGGTTCATGTACATATAGTTGGGGGGTTTTTAATTTGATTGTTGTGATTATTTGTTAACCTTATATTAATTAAGGTTATATTTATTTGTAGGGTGTGTTTGATCCAAGTGCTTGAAGTTTCTTTGTGTTTTCTAAGCAAGGACCAAAGATACGTTAGGTGGCTAGTTACTTTTGAAATTGATTGGATTGTATAAGCATGTTTTGCATGATCTTTATGATGATTGAATTAAATTGAATTGAATTATGATTTATGAAATATAAGCATGTTTAAATAATTGGTTGATAAATAAATTGGAGGATTGATGTTAGGTTTTGAATGTTTTGAATTACTTATCATGTTTGAATAAAGAAATTGATTTGAAAAGTTTGATGAATTAAGTAAAAGGTTTTTTCAAAGGAAGACTTATTGATTTTGAAAAGTTATTAATATGATATTTAATTCTCAAGTATTTATTAAAAGGTTGATTTTAAAAGCATGTTGAATTTAATTAAAAAGGATTTTGAGTATTTATTGGAATTATTGAGTTAAAGAGGTTTATTGAATTATATCAAAAGCTTTGCAAGCATAATTATTATATTAATCCCACTAAACGGATTCATTGAAGACTATGGACTTTGTATGACCTAGTCTTTCTCTAAGAATAGCCTTTAAATAGTAGGAGACTAGCTTGGGGGGTGTGCACACTTAGAGAGGAGGTTGAGTTTTCGAAAATAATTGATTTTACTAATCATTATTATTGAGTTATTGAGAATTGGTTTCCAAAAGAGTAATTGGTTCTATAAATCGTTTCATTGAATTATTGAGATTATTGAGAATTGGTTTGAACCATGAGTTTTGGAATTCATTAGAATAATTATTGGAATTGGTTTTAAAAGCATGTTTGGTAATAAATTGAATTTACTTATCTTGCACTTATCTTACTTCACATATTTTGCTAATCCGTATTTCTTATTTGTTTTGCTTCGCCCTATTTACCATAATGGTAAGCAGTGTTGACTAATTTCAAGTGGAGTCGAGAGTTGAGCATATGGGAGTCCCGGGAATGTTCTTCACCTAGATTAGGAATGTTGGTCTTTGTCTATTTATGAGTACTCATGACGATGGTTACTATTTATATTATTATTAATAAAGGAAGTATTGAAATTTCCGCTGCAAAGTATTAGTTTTGGTTAGTAAGTTTGAGTAGCCTTGCGTAACCACGTGGCGGTAATACGCCTAAGTCTATCTCTACAATATAATTATACGTATTATACTAGTATTTCCGTAGAGGGAGATTTGGGGGTGTTACAGTAAATCACAGCCATGTGAAATAGGGTATAAAGAAAAAAAGAATGTACGATTTGCAACAACAATCACAGTTTTGCTGAAAGCATCTTTTTATTTGATTCAATTGTCATGTATTTGTTTGACATAAATTGACTTTTTATTTAAGAACTAATTTTGTTCTAAAAAAAAACAGGAAAAAATTTGAGAAAATCTCATTACTCATATGTTGAATAATTTTGCAAACACTTTATTTTGTGTGCGGCTGGCTACATCTATCATGTGGCCACTTGTAAAAGAATAATATAACCCCTATAACATTGACCGAATAATCTTTGTAATATTGATCGAGTAACCTCTTTAATACTGACCGAGTAACCTCTAAAACAATGATCGAGTAATGCTTGTAACACTGATGAAGTAACCCCTGTAACACTAACCAAGTAACCCTATAACACTATCGTATTAACCCTCATGATGGCTTATCACACAATGTGGCCAACCAAATATAAGATTTTGTGTTTTGCAAGAACAAATAAATATTAAATAATAAAGAAAAAAACAACACGTATTCTGTGTGTCCGGTTGACACACACTAAAATACTGATTAATTAACCCCTGACCGACCGAGTAACCCCTAACCAAGTAACCCCTAATCGAGTAACCTCCGACCGACCGAGTAACCCTAACTAAGTAACCCCTGACCAAGTAATCTCTGACCGCACCGAGTAACTCCTGAATAAGTACCCCGACCATCCCTGATCGAGTAATTCCAGACTGAGTAACGCATGACAGAGTAACCCATAAGTAAGTAACTCGGGCCACACGGTGTGATCCGCGATGAAACTTTGTGATTAAAAATGTGAGGAAATTACCATCCTCTCTTCCTAGTGAACTGCAAAAATCCCTTTACTCGCAGTTTGTTCTTCAGCTCCCCTTCACCTGAACCTGCATCCTCTCTCTCATCGTTGAAGCTACACCAATCAAATCCCAAATACCCAATAACGTACCAACTCCTCTTTTAAAATCCTCACCAATTTTCTCATCAATTCATCATTTTCCTTCCTACATTTCACCAATTTCTCTAATTTATTAATGGGGTTTCTTCAAAATTTTGATTTCTGGGTTTTTTTGTTTTCAAATTTCAGATGGCAGCAAATGCATCAGTTGAGGAACCGATTCCCACATCGGCGGTATTAATGGCGGCATCAAAGCACATATCAACAAGATGCCGCGATGAAAACATTGCTTTTTTGAAGTGCAAGAAGAAAGATCAGAATCCTGAGAAATGCCTCGATAAGGGTCAACAAGTCACTCGTTGTGTCTTCACCTTGTAATTTTCTCTCTCTTTTTCTCTTTCTTTTCATGGTTTTTTCTTAATTTATTTCAAATTTTTGCAATTATTAGTATTTTTTTTAGCTAATTAGGGATTGATTAGTGGTGGGTTTATTGATTGATTGAGCAAGGATTTCGTTTTCTGTGATTTAGAGTTGATTGAGGCAGTTTGATTTGTGCGTTGTTTGTTTCTTTCTTTATTTTTTATTTTTGTAATTTAGGGTTTATGAAATTGGTCAATTGTGAATCAAAAGGAATGTGAATCTGAGGGTGAGTTATATGATCAAAAGATTTAGTTTTGCAAATGGTTGTGTTACTTGTGTAACCGGGTGATGTCGAAAGATGATAGCTTTTCTGCTCAAATGTGGTATTTTAGGTAATGTGTGTTGGAGCACTTAGTTTTTCATGCTTTATGATTTTGGTTGGATTAAGAAATCTCTTAATGTTTGAGGGAAAATGGCTGAGCATTCTTTCGTACTATATTACATTTTTGCTGAATCAATTCAGATTTCTGTGGTATAAGTCTTGGCTTATCTTTGCTGTGGATGTTGCTTAAGAAAGCTAAGCTCTTCTCTTTCTCGTCTACTTACTCTTTTATTGTGATGTGAGATTACACACATCCCGAAAGATTGGACATTGGCTTGAAGGATTTGGACTTGGGAACTAAGTTAGATATTATGTTTTGAATGATATTTTATATTTCTGTAACATGGATTTTCTTATTAGAGGGGTAATTTGAGTCATTTGACTGTAGATGAGCCCCATGGCCTCTACTACTTGTTGACAATGTCCCAACATTATTCCTCTAATAGAATGAGTTTAACTATCATAATGGCTATGTATGATGCAGTGAGCAAGAAAGTGACTATTGTGTTTTCTACAGATAATTATTCAAAGGTCCGCTACTTTGTTACTGCTATTCTATTGTTGGTAGTTGGAATTAGATTGACAGCTTTCTATCCCTGTGTTCTGCACCCCCTATAAGCCCCAATTTAAGCCTGTGATTCTAACCTCATGCTCCCTTGGATTCAAATTTAAGTCTAATTTTCTTTTGGCACAAATATCGAGGAAAGTGAAGATGGTGAGTATATGGATTAGAGAGTGGCCCAAACTATTGTCTGAAGTAGAGAGAAATAATAAGTCATTTGAAATTTGATACTCCACATATGAGAGCTTATATTTGGGATGGTAGGAGAAGACAATAGACAAATAAGAGAATGTTTTTGTATTGTTGATTAGATCTTTATTGGTCCTGAGTTCATGAGTTGTGAGCAATTGAGCATACATACTTTAGATAGGAGAGTGGTCCATTTTGGAGGTGATGGTCAGTTTAGGGGATTTAGGGGAAAGAAACATCAAAAATATGATTTTCTGTCTGTAGAGATGTATGATGCTCTATATATATTATTGTGATGTTAAAAGGCTATAAATGAGCGGGCTTCTCAAATTTTGGCTTTGGCGAGTGAGTGCTACTTTAGGATGGTAATTTCGCACTTGGTGTGTTGGTCATTGCTAATATGATCTTTGCATTGGGTTCAACATGGAGATGTGGTTGAGAAAACACTTTGACTGATAACTATAAGAAGATGTTTGATTTTTTCTGTTTTAATTTTCCTACTTGGTCTTTACCGGTCATGTAAATATGTAATTGCTGCTTAATCTTCATGCTATTCCATACTTCTTTCTTAATTCATAGGGACTGCATTGCTCACATACCTCTTAAACTTGAGCATAGTATGTTTTAGTATCACAAGGGACAACTAATAAAATCTAGAGAAACTTTCAACTCGTTTTGGAAGTTGAGGATCATTCAATGATTCGATTGATTGTGTAAAATATTGCCAGCATTTAGTGTTATTATGCACTATATATGAGGGTCTTATTGCACTGCCTTTGGTCATGGGAGTCCAATAGATTCAATCCCTATGCAAACTTTAAAAGGTAACTGTCATAAGAAGTTGCTTTCATAACAGGAAAATGTATTAGGTTTATGTTAGTTATTGGATATGTTTTCGGTAGCTATTTCATGAATCACTATTCACTACATTAACTTTAGAGTTTTCCAAAGGTTTGATGAAACCTTGATTCTTGACTGGTATAACAGGACCCATTTAAACCTGTTAATTATAAGGGGTATAATCTGAACGGCATGAGACTCATATACTGCTTATGCTATTGGACACCAAATTTAGCTGTAGGGGCTAGATTGTGGGAAAGAAAAAATTGCATGTAAGTTGATTGGGGGTGGAGGAAAGACATTCAAGAGATAGACATAACAATACAAAGTAAAAAATGTAATGTTATGTTACCATTATTGACTTTGGCTGTGATGCGGGTGCTTTTATATGCGTGCTTGTGTTTTTTTTTTTTGGTACTTTCCGCGCTTGAAAAACTTCTAGGGAGGTTAGAGTTGACGCTTGGAAACACACAGATCAATTTAAATGATATTTCTTAATTTTGAGACTCGTATTATTTTTTATTTTTCCTTGTCTGGTCCCTGGAATATCTTGTTGAAGCTGGATAGATCTAGCAAAACTATTTTAAATATCCTGATTGAACTGTAATGGCGATTAAGAATTTTGGAAACTTGCAAAGTCAACTAGTTATGAGTATGCTAACTATCTGGAGCTATTGCTATGGGTTGGGGCAAATGCTTATAATGTTTGTGAACAAAATCAACTATTTCAATGTCTCAGGCTTGCTAGCAGATCTTTCTTACTTTAAAGTAAACTTTCAAGGCAAAGTGAAGGGTAATTGAACAATTAGTAGCAATTGACATCGTTGATCTTTTTTAACCAGCCTTGATGCTACACTGTCTTCTGATATGACCAAATTTTTAGCACTTCTCATTTGTCAATAAGTGAAACATTAGGATTTGGCACAAATTTTTAAGTGTGATGACAATTGACAAGAGAAATATATATAGATGGAAGAATTTGTCCATGTGATGAGGAAAGTGAGGAGGAGAAACCATGGATGAAACTAAGGAATATTTCATTCATTTCTAAAAAGCCATACTAGAGAAGTGATCACTTATTGGAAAATGGATGGAGTAAATAGTATTGGTTGTTTTTTGCAATTTCCCCTAGAATCTTCAGGCCTTTGGTTGCCACTAGCTCTATTCCCTCGAGGATCTTCCTGTAATTCAAACTTGCATATGGTTAAGAGAGCTTTCATAATTGGCCCTGCATCTGCATACAAAAGAGTCCATCCTTCAGCAGATTGTAGGCATCCGTTAGAGAAGTGTCAGTTGAGTTTAACTCTTCCCCGACTGCAGGGAAGAGATACCCATTGGATTAACTAATCCCATTATTTTCCTATTCTCATCAAGTTTTACCAAGCTTCATTGTTTCCTGCTTGATGTCTATAAAACCTATAGCTTTTGCTAGTGTTAATGTCTTACTGCCAGGACAGTATGATGGTCACTAGTGTCCTTTTATTCTTTTATTACAGCAAACTAAGTCTTGTTTTGCAGAGGAATAAAGAAATACTATAAAACCTTAGGCAGTTGTTTCCCTAGAAATTTTGCCTTCTCATGCTTATCATTGTTACCGATTATTATTCTTCTATATTATAATATGAAAGAACATTTGCCTTGGTGACCACCAGTTTACAGTCCAGCATCCACATGATTAAGCCTATTCATTTATGGTTGATCACCTTCTCAACTGAAACTCCTACTCGGGAACAGACATTGAGGGAGAGCAAGAGCCTGAGATCATAGAGTAGGGTGAGAGAAAGGGGTTGGAGAAGGACTCCGAGCTCCATATGACCCATCAAAGTGCCTCGCTGGGGCATAATCACTAACGAAATGAGGAGAGATGGAGTTGAGCATCTTGAGGTTGGCGCATCTTGTAGCATTGAGAAGCTTTGGGACCCTAACTTTCTCTCCTTGGATCTCTTTCTTTTCTCGCCCCCCCCCCCTCCCCGCACCGGCACAGTGCTTTGCTTCCAGCACGAGATCCAATATCCGTTCTATGACTGGCTTTGTAGGAATGCCCTGCTCTTTGCGCCTGCACATTTGGTGCTTAAACTCTGCAAACTCACCTCAATTTGATCTCTCTTTTGCAATAATGTTATCACTAAGGACAGATAATAGTAGCGCTCTTTATGTTTCACTACTAAAACAGTGGCATGTAGCAATTTCATTCAATGAAGGAGCAGCAGTGGTTGTAGCAGTGATTCCATTACCCATTCATTACTCCTGTCCTGAGTAGGAAAGAACTGGAAGATTACTTTTATCTGTCTAGCATTGGAGTCAGGCCTGAATCCTTTGTTTGTTCTTCTGTCCTTGCAAGCTATGTCATTCTTGTTTTTTTCACTACCCATGATTTAGAAATGTCAACAACCTTGGGGCAAATTTCAATACCTTGTGACTTCTTTCCATTTTTGTGCGTGAAATTTGAATCTTATGTGGGGGAAGAAGAGTTTATATTTGCACAAGTCCTGTTATGTGTGTCTTTTCCATCTATTAGTAGGTGCACATATCTTTGTTCTGATGGATGTACTGGATAAGGTAGTACAATCAATCATCAATTAGATTAATTTTTTTTGCTAATTTTAGTTGCTGTGTCAAGCTATTTTGATTTTTGAATCAGTGAATTTTATTCGATGGATTAGCCCTTCAGGTCTTCTGTCTACACTGTAGACCCATTTGGGAATTTGTGATCTTTACACTGTTGGCTGTGCAGGCTGAAAGATCTCCACCAAAAGTGCACAAAGGAGATGGATGCCTACGGAAACTGCATGTATTACCACACAAATGAATTTGAGATGTGTCGCAAAGAGCAGGAAGCATTTGAAAAAGCATGTCCTCTGGAATGATAACGAGCTGGTAACCTCTTTGGTCACATGCTTTTCATTGTTAAGTTCAATCCTGCTAGGCTGCTATTAACTCTGTTGTTCGCCATGAAAAAAGTTGATGAATCTTTTTTCCAAGGAGAAGTGCAGAAATAAATTTTTTGATGTTTTTCTCTAATTCATGAAGAAGATAAAGGTGTCTTTTGAGTCATGTGTTGATTGTGGAGATGATTGATATATCTCTCAGGTCCAAGCAGAATACAGAATTTGTTGTGGTTCTTTGACATGAGATTGTACTCTTTGCAATTATTCAGTGAAGATGTCAACCATTAAATATTCAATGACGAACACTTATTCACTTCCTCAGTGTTCAACCTGTCCAAATTGGGGTTCTTCCTCCTAATGTTTATAGGCATAGTGTCATGTCATTAGTTAAGTAATAGATCTTTTAACATGATAAGATAACATGACTCTTATCTAGCATGACATATACTACGAATTACCCAAATTTGGCGCGATAGGAATCATGTTGTGTCCTTAAACATGACATGATTTAATTGCCTGCTCTATTTATTATTTTCCACTGCTCTGTGGTTCTCTGTTCTCACTTTTGAGCAAGTTTTAGCATTATGCTGCTAAAACTGCCATCAAGAAAACTTTATTGATTTTTTTGCCCCTTGGAATAAGAAGTATAAATTGATAATTAGTTATTCTATGAATTTGGGTATTCATGTAAAAGAGCCTTACGTGAAGAAATCAAGAACTAAGATAAATTGATGAGGTGGCTTGGATAGTGGAAATAATTGCTAGAAACCTTGTTTTGACCTGAAATTTTTATGGGTTTCTTACTTTAGTGGAAAGATTCATTATTTTTAAGTGATTATTGATGAACATTAGGGGAAAAAAAACCTTTTGTGTGTTTTTTGTTAAGATACCGTGTAGTGTGATTTCATGATTTGTAAGAAATTTGAACATTTTCTGATTGAACATCCAGCATCAACTGCTAAGGAAAATTGGAAGAACTATTTATGTTTGCTGACCGTCTGCATAATAGTCATTAAAATGTCCTCACAAGTCATGACCCATTTGAAAGCCGGTAATAAATTGCGGTAATGTTATTATCGTCTAGACAACGAAGTATATATCTATGGCATAGAAGGGTCCTTAAGACACATTAAACCTCCCATATAACCATCATCCACTATGGTAAACACATCCTCTGGAACATACTGAACTATTTATAAATCACCTTACATAAACAGGACTAAACAACCTTACTTGAACAGAACATAAATTTAATTTTGGAAATTATAAACTTGGTGTGCCCCTGATTAGTAGCATCCCCTGAGCAATGTCTCGAATGATCCATCTTCACCATCTTAGCTTTGTCGGGAAGTACTGCATAGTCATCAACAAGTTTATATACATTAGTTGAAACATGCAAAAATAGACCACTCCCTTCATCAGAAACGTATCCTCTCATTAAATAGCTCAAATTACACCATGAACGTGACTATGCATAAACAATACAAAATTTGGAATATACGAAGTTAAATTATCGAAATAATAAAAAAGGGTTAAAATTTGCCTTCTCAATGAGGGAGAGATAGTACGGCTTGACTTTCTCCACATCAATTCTTTCCTTACTCTTGCTGTAGAGGTCATACTTGTTAAATATATGGAGCCATTTCAAGTTCTCTTTATCCTCTTCATTCATCAAGTACTTGTATGCTCCTGCAGTGTGTAATGCTGAGGCAACAAAAGGTTACACACTTACACATCCATTCATTACCGTCATTTGTTATAATTTACCAGATCGAAACAAGCTACAATTTACACGACTAACCTACCGGAGAATGAATGGTATCTTATGATGAACAGAGCAGCTGAAGGTAGAGTAGTGTTGTTCTCCTTTGCAATTAGGTACATGTAGTCATCATGCCCAAATGACATTAACACATTCTCAAGTCCACATCCTTCGGAGTACATGCCATACTTTGTGTTATAAGCTGGGTTATTGTAGTCCGGGTTTAGAGCAAAATACTGTAAAAATCAGACTGAAACCGTTGTAGCTCCATGACATTATGCAATGAAATTAGCATTAAGCATCTAGGCATACTCACCTTGTGGTGCACAATCGACGCGTCAAAAGCACAACCAACAGGGAATATATCTCCAACAACAGCCCATTGAGGAAGCTCACCAAAGCTAGGAAGTAGGAGAACCTTACCAAGATCTAAAGTTTCACAAATTGTCAAATTTAGAGCTAGTTTATATAAAGTAACATTACTTAAAACTATAAATAGTCCACTAATTTCTTAAAAATTGAACCATTGTTTGCGTATAGTACCATGAATAAGGGCAGTGAGGTGAAGCCAATCTTCATTAGGATAGTCTTTCCTAATGGCCTCAGCAGATTGTAACAAATGCTCAATTTGTGGTTCATCCAAGTCAGGATCACTCTCATCGATGACGTCGTTTAGGAGCTCACAGCATTCCCAAATGCTCATTTCCACCTTGTTTAGTTTCCCATACTCTTCCCTCATCTTTTTCACCTACATTTCAAACAAATCATTAGTCCATCAAAAACTCAATTACATCACTCGAAAATGAAGGGGACAAAAATTAATGTTATTGTAATATATATTCTTTAGAACTTACAAAATCAACATACTGGTAAATGTGATTAATCTGGTAGAATTTCTCCACACCAGGTTGCCTTTCACCTTCAGCCTCATAATCTCTGTTCAGAAAACAGTAAGTGGTTGGATCTTTTATTGGGCTACCAATTGGCCATTTAGTTCAAATCAACATTGATTATAGTCAACCTGGGCCCAGTAGGTGAAATTAGTTTGGCCCAGCCTATTTACAATTGGTATTATATATGGAGTATAATAATTTTTTTTTTCCAACCTCGTTAAGATAACGAAATTACAATGGAAAATTTATGAAATGAACCCATGAGATTTAATCTCTAAACTTTAAGTGGGGAGCGATGTAACTACACTCTCCTTCACATCAACCCCATCGTCATATTATATACTTTTATACTCGTAATTTACACATTTATAAAATTATCATATGAGCTATTATCATTAGATTACACAAGATCAAATTAGACCAAGCCATTTTACATTCAAACTAAATTAGGACATGTCTTTTTTATTTTCGTCGAAATATTTTTATAATTGCATATAAATTAAAATTACGAGCATAAATTTTGAAAAGTACACATAAATACTTCGTATGTATTTAAAACAATAATTGTACTCCTTTATACGGTATACTACGACTATACTAAACAAAGTCCATGATACGAGTAGTACCTAAAAGTTGCCCAAAGGAGTTGGTTTGAGGTACCCAAAACTGATTTGGCTTATGTACTTTTTCTATTGCCACTACATATTCCTCCTCCTCCGCATAATTTTTGTGGTCCTTCTCCAATCCTGTTCCATAAATACTTTGATTCAACAAAATATTATCATTCAGGGGAAACAAAACAATAAATAAAAATTTAATTCTCTAAGGAATTTTTCTTACGGGTTATTTGGGACTACAAGGTTAAAATTTTTTGTTGTGTTTTCTTTTTTAAAAAAAATTTTGTTTTTTGTTTGTGAGGACTTAATAAAAAAGATCTAAGCATATTCCACCAAAAATATACAAAATATTAAGTAAATAAAATAAAAAATATTAAGTAAATGAAATACAAAAATTATGGCCTTTGAAATTTTAATACATATACTACAAAAAAAACAAATTGTGATAAAAACTATAAGCATAACCCTTAAACTTTCTTCCAAAAAAAACAATGACAGTAATTATTATTATTATTATTATATTTTCAAAATGATGGGTAAAAAAAAAAAAAAAAAAAACTACCAAAAAAATTTTGTACCGAAATCAGGCTGCTGCTCGATGATGAAAGTCATCTTGATCAAAATAATGCCACAGATTTTTTATATTATTTAATTAATTTTTTACAATGGGATTTAAATTTTTGTGAGAAAAAAACCTGGAATGGAAAAAGATAGGGTTAGCTAATGAATGAGATGTTGTTTATATAAGTAGATTAGGCTCTTGGAGAATGGGAGAAGGATAAAAGTATTTACTTTATACAATGTATATTTTTCTTTTCTTAAAAACACTTATGTACGTAATAATTAACACGTTGAATTTTTTTTCATTATTTATACGAATTATTAATTTTAAATATAGTTTTTTATTTAATTAAAATATACTATGTATATGCACTCTAGCTCTCCACTTATAATAATCACAATAATTTGACTGTTGCACTATTTGTATACTTATTGTGACTATATTAGTATTTATGTATATCAACTTTTTATGCTTCTACTATTATGCAAATATTAATGGTTAAAGTTATATATTGACGCATATAATACTCAAACTGTTACGAATATTATGAAGCGGAACTGCGGAAGAAATATTTACTACTCCCTCCGTCCCATAATATAGTTCATGTTTTCCTACTTTGGAGATCCAAAATGTTGCTCCTATTTTTATTTTTCGATAGTATATAAAGACTATTATACCCTTATTTTTTTAACTTTATTCTTTGTACTTCCTAAATTCCCCTTGAATTTGTACCTGCCTTGTACTTTTTTCACTTTCTCTCTCTAACTTTTGTCTATAATTGTACTTTTAACTTTTATTAAAGTACTTCATTTATTTTTTCCTCCTATTTCGTAAATACTGTGAAAAACAAAAACAAAAACTATAGTATAGGACAGAGAGATGATAAAATTATTAACAATTAATTCAAATTAATTTATTTTTTTTGGTGCTCACGAGTGGCTAGACCCCAAAAAACAACAACCGATTTAAATTAATCCAGTGAATAAAACTAAACATCGCAATGATCGCACAGCATAGGAGTATCCGAGTATAGAACACTGAGTGGTTGGATTTAATAGAATCAGTCAGTGGGTAGGCTGAGCAAGGTGCCTAGGTGTAAGTCGTGTAAGCAATGCGTAACTAGTTTAAATTGCATGCTAGAACCTACAGATGGCCGTATAAGTGACACGTTGCTTCATAATGACGTGGAATTTATTCAATTATTATGACTGCTCTTGTAACAGAAGAAGATTTTCCCTGGTCCTATTCGTTATTTTCATGACAATTTTGTCTTTTTATTTTTTATATTTTACATAAAATTCAACTTTTATTGAAATGCATACATGTGATTACATATTAGTTGCAACTTTAAAATATTTTATTTTTCACAAATAATACTCAAAGTTGCAACTAATATTTAACGAAGATAGTATAATAGGATGATCGAGGACATAATCTTCCCCCCTCCTCCCAAGTGGTTGAGGGTTTGATCCTCGTCCCCCTCATTCTTGTAATTGGGTGCGTGGGAGGAGCCCTCCTTATCTTACCATATAAAAAAAAAAAAAAAATTATAATAGGATGTTCGTATAATTTGTGGGAAACTAGAGGGTCCTTGCTCAGTATAAAGTTGATAGTAATAGGTCCTTGTTGGTGCAAAATCTAAATACTATAGCGGCAACTCCTTGCCTTACCTGTCATCACTTCATAAATATTGACGATGAAAGCACCATCTACCTACCTAGTTCGGTGCATGTCATCGGATGATTGGATCTAAGCTATTTATCGGATTATTGCATAAATAAGTTGTTAGAATTAGCAACTTCAAAAGTCTAATACGGTTAATTAGTACAACTCGAAGACACGAGGTAGGATTCAAGTTTGGGCAGAGAAGGAATAAGTATATATGAGCAAATAGGCTTCGATTTTCATAGCATTGACAGCATGAATAGGCTAGGTAGTATGTACTTCGTCCTTTGTTTGGCTTAGCTCATTAACACCTACCACTATTACTTGATTAACATGAGTATTGTACAAAATCAAGTTTGGTTAACTAGTCAAGAATTATTTTAGTGAAGTACTATAACTTTGGGCTGCCATTTTTCCCAACCATTATTAATTGTACTCCATCTGCCCACAATTATCTGCAACATTTACCATAAATGAATGATCTCTATTATGTGCAACAAATTTTTTTCTTTCCTCTTTTAGTAAATTTTAAATAGTAAAAAGACCACATTACCCTTACTTTTATTTTTTAAATGTGTTTAACAACTTTTAATTACACTCAATTAAATCCTAATTATCTAACTCACTCTAATAATTCCCACCAAAATTTAACCCCTTCCATCCCTCTCTCATCAACATTCACTCATCTCCTAACTAACACATTCAATGAACTGCATTGAATTTCCCTCGAAGATGCATCCCAGATTCAATTTCTTCTGGAGAATTCTCCAGAAATTCATCAAAAACCCTCTTCTCTCTCCTGTTCGCACCTTGTTCTCCTTCCCATTTCTCTATGAAACCCTAACTCCAATTTCTTCATCTTTCTCAGAAAAAATGAGTACCAACCCAGATCCAAATGAGTCCCTTGAATGGGAGAAGAATAGTGAGCCTCGGTTTACTCGCTACAGGGCGCAGCGAGGAACTGGAACAATGAAACCAGTTCGTCGGTGCTCTTCTTAGTTTTCGAGATTACCCATGGGAAAATTGGAGCGACACTCGCTGAGTACACTTCGAGTGATGAAGAAGAGGAGCAGGTTCGACCTTATATCTAGCGAAGAAGGAGGTTGTGTTTGTGAACACTTCGAGTGATAAAGAAGAGGAGCAGGGTTCGACCGCAGATCTAGTGAAGAAGGAGGTCCCTGAGGCACCCGTAGCGGTGGTGGAGGTTCCTGACTCCCCGGAGGTGGTGAGTGTAGTCTTCCTTAAGTCCCTAAAGGCTCCGGCCAGTGGTGGCTCCGCCAGTGGGAGGAAAAGGGCCAGATCTGTTTTTACAGACGACTACAGGGACCCTGCTTACATGGCCTATCTAAAGGACAAATACCCTCATGACTTCCCTCCCACTAACTGATCTTGCAGCGTAACTATTACTAAACCCTAATTTTGATTTTAGTTGTTTCGATTTAGCTTTGCCTTGTTTACTGTGTGATTTTTGGTGTTTATCATTGTTGAAAAGCATGTGAAGTGTGTGCATGTGAGTTCCTACAACTGTTTCTTGCTTGATTATGCTGCTTGATTGTGGTACTTGGAGGTTTATGCTGGTGGATGTGTTACATTGGCTTTAAGTAGCCTGTTGGATTATGTTGGATGGATTATATGTTCCCTGCTGGATTTTGCTTATGTACTTATGTATATGCTGCTGGATTATGCTGGATGGTTGTTTGAGTTCCCTGCTGGATTTTGGTTATGTATGCTTGTGTATATGATGCTGGATTATGTTGGATGGTTGTTTGTGTACACTGCTAGATTTTGTTTATGTCTGCTTGTGAATATGATGCTGGATTATGTTGGATGGTCTGTGTTGGATTGGGTGTGTGCTTGTAGTGTTGGAATGGCCAAGGGAATGCATGATTGATGAATGATGGGTTATTTTGGATGGTTGTTTGTGTACAGTCCCATTTGAATGTTGCCTAGTAGTTCTTACAAGTCAATGCCTGTGCCTTTGTGTATGAGTCCCCCATAAAGGGTTATGTGCGTGTACAAATTCCAAATGATGAAAGGAATCACTTTGAGTTGGATGTGTAGGTTAGTTTTGCTCCAAAAAGTGTCTTTTTAAACTTGTTGTTGAGGTAACAACCTATAACATCTCACTGAAACAAAAGTAACCTCTCTGATGGAATTCATTTTAAAGTTGTATCCTCATATTCATTCATTACAATTCAAAAAGTTACATGTTAACAGTCCCTTAATCTAATCATTCATTACATGACTGCCTAAAAATAAGGAAGTTTATCTACCAAAATACAGATAACCTAAGCATTATAAGCATGAACAAAAAACAGTTGCTTACTTAAGACAAAAACCAGTTGTGAGTCCTTCTTTGGTTATGTGTGGAAGTCATGTTGTCATTGAATGATGGTCATTTGTTGTATCTAGTCTGCATCAACCTTCATCTGCATGTAGTCTTCATTGTCTTGATTTATTGGAATAAAAAGAGTGTTGAGGAGGTCAACTGCTTGTTTAATGAGTCCCCTTTCAACTTCCAAAAACTCAAGAAGAAGACCTAGGTTGTCCAACCTTTTCTTGCCCATATGAGGTGGATTGAAGTTGTTGCCCCCTTCTTTCTCTAAAATCTTTTTCATTACTCCTTGCAAAGTGATCCACGTGTACTTGTTAAGTATTGGATCAAACCATTCATAAGCCTCATACACTTTCTCTATTAGTTCATCAATTGTTGTGGGAAAGGACAGGTATTGCAAGGACTGAAAGACCTTGAATAGTCCAAGGTCCAGAACATTCAAATCTGGAGATTGAGTCGGTTGAAACACCATTTGAATGTTGAAACCATTAGCTGTACATGCTGCAATGAATTCATTTTCCCTTGAAATTTGATGTGGCTTTGCATTGTCCCATTGAATGAATATGTCTTTAGACAGACTAGAATGCCATTGCCTGTGTATTGCTAGAATGATGTTGTTCATCAACATTTTCCTGATTTCTTCTTTGGTCACACTCCGCACAGCCTTTGCTCCATGACCCCTGCATCTCTGTTCTTGCTTTTCTTCTCAACCCTTTGCTCGTAAGTAAATGGAAAAATTCCATACTTCCCATTATGCATCATATATCCATTAATGTCATAAAGGGGCTTACCAATCATCCCCATGAACATAGCTTTAATCTTGTATCTCTTGGACTGCTGACATCTATAGGGGTTTTCTTCCTTTGGTAAGAGGTAGAACTTCCGTGTTTCAGGGTTCATATAGAACCATTTTTAATCTATGTGTATAACCTGTTGCATATCCATGAAAGTTGGATCTCCAACTGCCGAAATAGGGTGAATATGGCCTAATGCCCACTTCAGTCTAGCCACTTTGTGATTTGATGTGAGTGATGGATGGTTGGTGCTTGTTTGTGTTCTTAATCTGTTCTTTTTCTTCAAGTTATGGAGAAATCCATGTGACACTTTCTGAGCAGCTGCATAATTCCTCTCTGTTATCCTTTTGTATAAAGGCAATGATTGCAAGAACTCGTCAGAAATCAGTCTGGGTTTGGGACCAGTTTTCCCCAGTTTTTTGCTTCTGACATCAATCACATTCCCTTGTGCTATACTTTTCTTAACAAACTGCCACACCCTCAGTGATGTGCTTCTGTGAATGCCATATT